CACAGAGGCCCTGGTCAGGTGACTGTCCACTAATAAGCTCTGGTGAACTGAGGACCAAACATACTTTTTCTTATTGGGTTGTTTGCCACCTCAGCTATAAAAGTTTTTATGTGTTAAATCTCAACATCTTTGTAGAGTATATATCTTCTTGCATTCATTTCTGGTTTTGTTTTGTCTACCTGTGTTTTTTGAGCTTATAATTCATTACATTGTTCCCTTTCCTTTCCTCCCTCCAAACCCTTTCATATATCCTTCCCCACCCTCATTTAAATTCATGCCTTCTCTTTTCATCAATTTTATTGCAATCATATATACATTTCTGTACATATATTATATTGTGCATATATAATATTATGCATTTGCATATATAAATATATTAATATGTATGTATGTGTGTATTCCTTAATATTGAAAACTGTGGCAGCTACTATAGAAATTAGTATTGAAAATTCTCAAAAAGCTAAAAATAAGTTTACCATTTGACACAGCTATATCACTCATTAGCTTATGTCCAAAGGACTTGACATCCTACTTCACAGATGTCTGCTCGGTGTGATAGGAGTTGTGCTGAAAGTATAGATCAAATATAAAATTGCTTCCTAAAAACACAGAATTTTCCAGTCCGTGAATACGCAACATCTCGTTTATTAAGATTTCCTCTACAACTTCTCACTATTATTTTTATTTTTTATCTATAAAATTAGCATTTATTCAACTAAATGTGTTTAATTTTTTTATTCTGTTTGAGCTAATTGTGAAGAGTTTTCGTAATTATGATTTTGAAAATCTGTTGACATGAGGTAGAAGTTGATATTTGCATATTAACCTCTAGCTTATAGCCTCACACATTTACTCTTCTTACAATTTTAATCTAATACTCATGATTTTGTACATGCAAAATTATGCCATCTGCCAATAAAGTATTTTCTATTCCTATTTCAATTTGCATGTTCAGTGTTTGGTAACACTATGTAGAATTTTCTGTGTGATCCTGAATACAGTAGTTAAGGCAGTCATCCTTGTTCTACCCAGACTTTTAAGGAACACATTTATTCTTTCACAATGACAATGTTACAAATAGGAATGTGCAAGCATCTTCCTATTTTCACCTTGGAATTTTTTGTTTGTTTCCTATTATTTGTTTATCTGTCATTTTGTCTTATGTTGTATGAGAGAGGGTCTTTTGTAACCATGGCTTGCCTTGAACTCACTGGGTAGTTGGAGGATGGTCTCCTGTCCCTATTGTACTAGGACAATAGGAACACACCATACCTATAAGAATTATACCTGAGTCTTCACTTCTAATTTAGATTAAGGTCTTTATTATGAATGTATTCAGCATTTTGCCCAAGATATTGACTAGGTATAGTAATGCAATCATGTGTTCTTTGTTCTTTGCTTTCAATAAGACACATATTAATTGGTTTCTAGATTATAAAATACATGGTATTCATAGAATAATTTCAATTTGTTATAATATGTGATTATTTTATATTTCATGATTTAGCTTGTTTGTTAAGTATTTTAATGTCATATTCCAAGATTGTTCTACGTATATATTTTCATGTGATGTCTTTGAATACTCTTCTGTTTATATTTGTCTAAGAGTTCTATCTAAATAGCCGGTTATGGGGCACAAGTTCCCCTCAAGTGACTTGCAACTACCTCGAAGGATGTAAAAAACACATTGGTTTATAAATTGGGGAGAAATTGCTCAAGTTACTTTTAAATTTTCTAGTTTCTTACCTGTGTTATATATCCGGGTTATCTTCTTTAGACTAGATATTCAAGGTGGCTTAGACTCTGTCTGGTCTAAAAAAAAAAGGCAGGTTGTTCTAGTTCAGTGCACCCTGTTGCTCTGGCATCCATGGAGGGGACATGTAGGCACAGAAACAAAGGAGGAAAACCCACTACAATATCCAAGCTCAAGTACTGTCTTCTGTTTTCCAAACACTCTCAGGCTCATAGCACGCTCAGCATCCTTACTACTGTTCTAAGAATCCTCTATCACTGAGTCCACAAAGTATCTGGGTTGCCATTGATTCAAATTTAAATATGTATTATTCAGGCCTATTCTTTCTCTCACTAACTGCTGCATCAAAGGGGTCAACCTTTCCAATGAGATTTTAAGGCACTCTTTGTAAAAGAGAAGAGGGCGCCTAAAGCAGTAGTAGAATTTGTTTTAGCAACAGTTGAAAGTTGGATAAAATCTTATTCTTTTTAACCGTTTTCCTGGCAATGGTGAATACAATACTTCACAGAGATCATAAAAAGCAGCCACAAGTGTGAGTAAATTCTAAGCACATTTGTACACAAGTAATAAAACATTAGTATTTCTTTGTTTTAGAATGAGCCTGGTCTATGCTATCTATATTCCAAGACTTCATTTACCCCAAAGCATGGAGAGAGTTTGTTAATGATGACTGATCTAGTTATAAGTGGTCTAACTTAATACCTAGAGAATCTTCAGATTTCCTACTTGCTCCATTCCATAGCAACAATGCCTATGGTTTTTATGGCTCATTCTACCTTGTTAAAATCACGTGACAGCTGAACTTGGTAGAGAAGTAGTCCAGAAAGGCAAAGTAGAGTTCCACTGGTCTTCCTCTCAGGCCAGTAATTTCTCTGGAATGTATACTTCTCTCTTTGTTGTATGATTTACTCAACTTCCAAATGCTAAAGGATGAAGCCGCAGGGCGATTGGTAATGAAAAGTCCCCAGACTATCTTGATACAAAATATACAGCTTTAATAAACAGAAGTAAGACTTACAACAGCTTACACCAGAATCCAAACGTTCTGTCCGGATGCAGGAGCCAGGTGAAAAGAGAGCTAGCGGAGAGTGCTTGCTAGGTTTATAGGCAGGCTTTAGCCTGAGGGCGGCACGCCCCAAAAACAGAATGTGATTGGCTGAACTCCCCTATCATCAGTTGTCAAGAATTTGTATCTTTTTTAGTTTATAGTTCAATCATTAAGAGAAGTTTTTGTTTTATAGCACTCTAATATTTTAGCATTCAAAAGTTTTCTTTACATGATTTGTAGTAGTACTTTTTATTTTCTAGATGTAGAGGACAAAGGCATGAAATCATTATGAACTGATGTGGTTGGACATATAATATATATAGCTATAATTTGTGATAGTGAGCGATAACAGAGAGCATACAGTTTGCATGTGTAACTGAAGATAAATTGGCACCACTTGATATTTGACAGTTTTAATAGTAGGTTCAGATATAAAACTCTCATAGCAAACACAAAGGAAATATCAGTAGACTATAGATAAGCAGAAATAAAAGTAAATCAAATTATGTCACTGTTATAAAATAAACATGAAATAAAGTAAAAATACAGGAAGCAATAGTCAAAACCTAGAAAGTATGCTGAAAACAGACAACAAAGTGGCAGTATGATTCTTTTAAAGGCTATTTCCTTGACAGTTAGTAGACTAAACTTACCAATCAGACACCATTAGCAAAGAGTATTTGCTAATGTGCTTTCTAAATGTTTAGATTAGTTCCAAAGACCTAACTAAGTTGAAAATAAAAGGACTGCAAAAAGTTCATATAGTAACCAAAAGATGGCAAAAGTAATTAATAATAAATAACACAAAGCAAAATCTGTATATATGGTGTGAGAATGCACCAAGAATATGTAATTATTATAAACATGTTTGGGCTAAAAATCAGAGCCCTTAAGTATATGAAATAATCATTGTCAGAATTAATAAATAGTCAAAGACTTCAATGTGTCATATTCAATATCAGAATAACTAGAAACATGACCACCAAGGAAATACAGGACAAAAACAGCAATTAAACATAAAAAACCTACAGACCCTCACAAGCAAAAAAAACAGAGGATACATTATTTTTCTTCCTCAGATAAACAGGGACGACCCTGCAAGATGGAACAGAAAATAAAAACAAAAAAACCCCTCCAGTTATGATATATGTCGACACACTATTAAAAATACCATAGTACCTTGGGATTTTAAGTCAATTACAGAATTGTTTTGATGTACAGTGTTGCTATATTTAAATAAAACACAAAAGATTAGTTTACAGAAATTTGACCTGATGTAAGACTCTCATAAACAATAGTATCTAAGTGTTCCATTGAAATGCGTTTTTGTATGCCTACGAAGAAAGCTGCAGACCTGATAATCCTGCTGTACTCCAGCAGAACGAGTCACGAGGTAGCAGAACAGTACTTCCAGGTATCTGGATCACACTTGCTCCCAGAAACGGCAGTGTTCAGAGAACTTAGAAATCTGCCGAAAAGAGTCACGGTGCCCTATTGCTTCAAACGAACCCAGGAAATTCCTGGGAATAGGATGGAATTCTTAGAATCTTAAGGAAAGCTAATGCCTGCTTTGCGAGAACAGAACAGAGATTCTAAATGCATACTACAGCAGAATTCCTTCTTTTCTTTACTTCCTCTAAAACTTCTATGAATTATTTAATGATTCCTCTAATAATAAAAATTGTAGAAAGTTAGCCCTGTAGTCTTTGGTGGATGGCAGTCCCCCTTAGACCTGGGTTAGTTTGTTCTCATGTTAACTCTGTCTATGGCCACGGACTGAATTTTAAAGTCCTAAATCTGAAGTGTAAACTATAAATTGATATGACTGAAAATATTATTTATTTTATGTTTTGAAATTCCCACCTAATGTTGCATTAAAATAAGTTTTTCATTAGTTAGGATATTTTCGAGCCGGTTTTTAGTTCTGAACGGCTTTCGTAGCCAAGACACGGAGTGGATGGTGCAGGCGTTACAGCTGGGAGGGAAAGGTATCCTGGCAGTCGGGAGCCAAGGAAAACTGAAAGTCACATCGCACAACAAGCCTCAGGCAGGAGATTTGTTGGGAGGAAAAAATCCCGGAGAGTGACTGCCTCTGCTCAGGCGAGAAACAGCAGAGACCTGAGGAGAAGGCAGGGCTTACCTGGAGTTTCTTGGAGCAGGAGGTGGGACTTTTCAGGGTGAAGCTTTCCAGAGTGGAGACCGGTAGGATTTCCTGTCCAGAGGTTGGGCTTATTTTACTCTCGAGCGAAAGGGCAAGGTCAAGCAGTTTGGGCAGTTAGAGTGTTCTGTGGGAGGAACCTGGCAATTAGAGGTCCTGGGGGAGCGGCCCGGCCCCTCGTGTGGCTGGAGCGGCTCACGGGTGGTAATATTTGACAAGTGCCAAAGCATGAGTAAAACTCATTGCTTCCTTCTGCTCCGTAGCATAATAGTATGGTCTGGCCCTTCTAATGCGATAGGAAACCCCACACACAAGTTCGTGCCCCGTCGATGAATAATATCAAAGCGCATTAAACCAAAGTTTGAACATATCATTGCTATAATTAAAATATTTTCCAGACTTTTAAAAATACGTATATTGACACCAAGAAATTAAAGAAATATATAAGAGGAGGCCATGCAAATGTGAATTCCTACATGAATGGTGGTGAGATCATGCGCTGTACCCAGCTGCTTGAGCAAATGACAGACCACATTACCTGGTGGGGGGTCCAAGAGAAGATATCACCGTTTCTTATTATCGCATTCCTATCGCGTATAATAACCATCTTTATTTAAGCATACACTACGAAGGGTCAACAAAGGTGCCTGACAACAACGTCTCAGAAGTCTCCTTCGCTCTGTGAGGCAGGACTGTATCCACAGAATGGATATTACTTACCATAAAAGGAATAAAGACTTAATTGACAGTATAGCTTCAGAGAGTTCTAGAAACAGACATCTTGGCTGTTTCCGGTTTCCGGATATTATGAGTAAGGCATGAATGAACATGGTTGTGCAAGTGTTTCTCTAGTGGGGTACATATCCTGTGAGTATATGGCATGCTGCACAATCCTTTGAGGAGAGATCTGGAGACAGTTCAATGTCTAGCGTCCTAAGGAACTGCCGTACTGACTTCCACAGTGGCTGTGCAAGTTCGCACGCCCACCATCAGTGATGAGGTTCTCCTGCTCCACACACAAGCTGTCACGTTTTTAATTGCTCTGTCAATTCTGACTGGTGTAAGATAAAATCTCCCTTTGTGTAAATATTAAATCAGGAATATCTCTGCTTCCAAAAACTTGCAAATTACTTGAAATAAAATATGGAACAACGACTGCATGAATAATGATATTTGGGTTAAGGTATTTCTGAATTCCTAAATGCGAGTTAGAAACAGTGTCTAGGAACAATTCTCTATATTTCATTTCCTTAATTTTTTACTAATAAAATATGAAAACCACATTTATTTCATTTTCCTATGAAGATTATAGTCTCCCTTTCCCCTTGGCTGCAGATCTCAATATTAAAGTGCTCACCTAGATCTCCATTTAGCATTTCTAAATGTCTGAAATCATATGTACCCAACCTTCTTGCACATACAGGGGTATGCATGCATTTCTTTAGACACTTATGTACTATGAGTTCCTTACTATAGATGTCAGTAATGTGATGTAGGACACTAAAAGAGAACCGTCTTCATTTTACAACTCATGGTTTTATTCCTGTCTATTTTTAAACACACATGGACATACATGTTAAAGGTTGAAAATACACTAGAAATCAGCTGACACATGCATTTAGCACTCTGAAAATTACCTAATAAGGGAATCAGTATCTCATGTTTGCACAAACAAAAATTCCATGATTATTTTCTTATGATATATAGATATTTAACAATTTTTTAGCCATCCTTTTTATAATATTTTAGTTTACTATTTGAAATTATTGTGCATCAATTTAATAGACTTTAAACATAATCACTCCCACTACCACCTTGGACTCTCCTCAGGTTCCTTCTAGTTTAATTACATTTTCTGTGATGTGACAAAAGCAAGTTACAGAAAGACGAGTTTATTTTGTCTTTTGCTTGCAGCAGTAGAGTCCATAAGGGCTGGAAAGGCACAGCGATGGCATGTTCAGTAGTAGAGTCCATAAGAGCTGGAAAGGCACGTCGATGGCATGTCCAGTAGTAGAGTCTATAGGGGCTGGAAAGACATGGCAATGACATGTCCAGCAGTAGAGTCCATAGGGGCAGGAAAGACCTGGCCGTGTTGTTTAGAAGTGATGGAAAGGTTCGCTGTTTTAGTATAATTAGTTGTATAACACAGAAAGGTTCGCTGACTTAGTATAATTAGTTGTATAACACAGAAAGGTTCGCTGATGTATTATAATTAGTTGTATAACACTTGAACTGGGCAGATGCTGGCCAAAATGTGACTTTCAAAGAATAAAGTGAGAAAGGGGCAGGATTTTGAGAGTGAAAAACTTAGGGAATAGTACTTCCAATATCAAGCAATAAAAATTCAGTTAAATTAATAGATAATTGTGACCTCATTAGAGATTAAGATCTGCTTTCTTGTATTACATTTTGTACAAAAACCTTTGATGTTTGTCACAAAAGCCACACGTACTCACTTGTTTTTAGTTCATGTAGGAAAAGCACACCAACTTAGGCTGCAATAGTTCATGTCTGTCAGAATCATAGTTATTTATGGGTAATCTAGAACAATCTGGTTATGGAGTAAAGAATCGGGAATAAGTTATTCATAACCTGGAACAATATTTTTGTGCCACAAACAATACTCAGTGAGGAGTTAAATTTGGAAGTGAAGAGTAACCATTGATTATGGTCTTTGTGCTACAGGAAGGTGAATCTGCATTGGGATTATATTTGTCCGGTTTACAATAGCCACGACTATATTTCTGGTAGTAAATTGTTCTTTGTTTCATAGTTAAATTGTTTACTCTAGAGTTTTTCTTAACATATTCTTTCTTAATTTAAATATGTGTGTGTGTGTGTGTGTGTGTGTGTGTGTGTGGTTTCATTTGGGAACATTTACTATTTGAATGAATATAACAAACTTTGAAAAAGCATTCAATGATAATCTAATCACTGTAGACTATACTTAAATGGCAATAACCTTGTGTATTATTATTATCTATTTGAGCATCAGAATAATATAATTTTGTTATTGATGTCAAGTTTCTACTCCTAGAATTGGCTTCTGGTTATTTAATCCACTTTTTCTGTAACCTACTTTTGATAGATATTTGTGTCTTTAGTTATTACTAACAGTTCGCTATTTTTTAAATGCAGGTAATGGGCTAGGAATTAGAATTGTTGGTGGCAAAGAAATCCCTGGACATGGTGGAGAAATTGGAGCCTATATTGCTAAGATTCTTCCTGGTGGAAGTGCAGAACACACGGGAAAACTTATAGAAGGTAAGGATTAGAAATTTGGTAATAAAATATAATAAATGTACTCATATTAAATTGTTTTATTTGTATGAAAATTATTATGCAAATTTGTTTACATTTGTATCAGAAAATCTTGTAATCAATATTGATGAAATTTTGGTATGGTAATGTTGTACTACAATATAATAGAAAAATGTATTTGCAATAAGATAATTTTACTTTGGCTCACATTGTTCTTTTGTCGGTATTAGCTACTGGTTGCTTTATTTAAAAACACAATTAGTCAAGATTTTTATTGATGTTTAATTTTTAAAATCTTTAATAATCTAGTTTAATATTTTATTATGAAAATTAAAAGTAATTTAAAGTAAAATTAGACTGAAAGCAGCTATGAAAATGTGAAACAAAATTCAGCGGAAGCTAAGGTCAGGTCTCTAGCTACAGATGGCTCACAAGCCACATCCATCTGCCACCTGTTCTTGTCAACAATGTATCCTGGAGCACAGCCAGGATTACTAACTTAGACAGGAGCATGCACGCTTTCCTGCTGCAATAGCAAGGAGAGAGACTTTATGGTCAGTGACATCCGTAGTATCCATTTGTGGTACTGTTTATTTTTAGATACTATTCGCCTCCCTGTGGACAATTTAAAATAACATGTCTTTCATCATCTTTACACAGTAAATTATGAATAAATTTATTCTGATAGTGTTTTTTCTTTGAGATAATGTAACCATTATCTCAATACAAATTATCTGAATACAAATTCTGTAACATATACATGCAATACTCATGAGCTATATGTATGTACATATATGTGTGTGTGTGTCTGTACACACAGACACAGCTATATATATGTACATACATATATATATATATACAGCTATATATATATACATATGTACATCTATATATAGTTATATATGCATATAGCTCACTAGCTTCAAGTGATATTTTTATAATAAGCATTTGTTTATTACAAAAATATTTATAACCTTTCTGCTTTATTCTAAATAAAGTATTTATTTGGAAAAAGTACTTTGGTTTCACTTTTTGATTTAAAATTTTTCTGCTATTGCTTGCAGTCTTTAGCTCCTTTGGAACTGATTCTCTGCCATTTTAAATGAAATGTGTTAGAACCTACACACGTGGGCCTTGGGTGTTTTGATAAGCTATTATTGTAGAATTTACACAGACTATACACAGCATTTATCCACCGAAGTTTGGTTGTGCTTGGGCCACTGGTACTGCTTAGTAAAGCAGCCTATGCACATCCCCTCCAGTTTCAGGTTCAGACTTCACAACATGCCTTTCAGTTGGTCATGATAGGGTTATTTAATGTGGAAAGAGCCACATGTTGTTAATTCACTCCCTCTTTTTACTTGCTTTTATAATGCCTTCATTTAGTCTTTCTCTCTCCTTTTCTTTGTGTGTCTATGTTTTGATATTTTGTTTGTCAGTAGTTATATACCTATATGTCTAATTCATAAATGGATCTTGCATTTCTGTATAAACTTCTCTGAGAGTACACCAGGTCTCAGAAACTGTGGAGTAGTTGTAGAAGAGCTTTGATTTTTATTCTTTGTATAAAGCATTACTCTAATATTACCAAATACGTAACACTAGCAGTTCTGTTCTTATTTAATGTTATAAAGATTTTATTATATCGTTGAAACATCGTTTAAAGCAATGAGAGTAATTTTTCACAGTTTTAAATTTTCGTTTCTAAGGAAACAATGTAAGTGTGAAAATGGTTCAATAGGTAGTAGGTAACATATTTGTTTATGTGATTTATTTATGCAATTTAATTTCTTTGTTTAATGTGTTCAATATAAACTTAAGAATTGCTCACTTCTTTTAGATTTTGTCTCTCTATATTTCTGAATATCAAAGAATATATTGTGAGCCTTTATAGAAGTGGTATCATCTTTCAGATGTGATATAAGTGGCAATTTGTTCACAATATGTGTTTTAAAACTGAATTATTCACTTCCAACTGAAGAGTATATATTCAGAAAAGTTTGACAGTGTTTGTCCACCTCTCTAATTTTTAGAATTGGTGTTTCTACCATTTCCCTTGAGATCAGAATTTTAGCATGTTTTTAACCCATCAGTGCAGAGGTTTGAAATGATCACAGAGATTGGAGTTTTAAGTAGTGTATATTTTTCTCTAGTCTAATTTGAATAATTTCCAGATGTAGACTACATTATCAACTGTTGATAATGTTTATCTAGAAGTTCCTACTATCGTCTGGGATCTTTATGCCTAGATCACTGCTAATAAATTTTTCATCTCACAATAGCGACCCCACCTTAATCCAAACTTTATCTGGACTATTCTACTTGAGGAACCGCAGTTAAGGGCATTCCAACTTTAGAAAATTTTTCATTCATAGCCCTCCTCTGTTGTTCCTGCTCGAATTCCAAATTCTCCATTTGCTGAATTCCCTCAGCTTTGGTTTCATTGTCCCTTCTATTTCCATTTTCAGATCTTGAACAGCTTTTGCATTTTTTAAAATTTTGTTTTGTTTTGTCTTCTTCAACCCATCGTATCTTTTTGTCTTTCTTTGGGTGGGTTATTCATTTCCTCAGCTTTTTTGTTTGTGTTTTCCTGGATTTCTTTAGGGGATTTATTCCTTTCCTCTTTAAGGATTCTGTTATCTTCACATAGTTGGTTTTAAGGTCCTTGTCTTGTGCTTCAGCTATGCTGGAATCATCAGGGCCTTCTATGGTAGGGTAGCTGGGCTCCAGTGGAGACTCATTGCCCTGATTGTTATTGATTGTGTTCTTTGCTGGTGTCTGGGTCTCTGCGTTCGGGGTGAGTATCGGTCTAGGTGCTGATTTCTGATTTTGTCTCTCTTGGGTGGGTATTTTGTTCCTTAGTTTCTCTTTCACGTCTATGTTTTCAGTGAGTGTGATGGCTGTGTGTTGCCTCTTATATTGGCCTGCTCAGCTAGTGTGTTGACATGGAATGCCTGGCAGTATTGGCGGCTGGTTTTCTGCCAGACACGGTCTGTGGTTGAGTAGGAGATCCCGTTTGAGTTGGGGGCTAGGATACAACGGGAGTACAGGAGCGGGTGGTCTGTGGGATCCTCAGGTTTGGGCACATAGGATGGAAGGATGCAGCCGGTGTTCTGTTGCAATGCTATGGATGAGACTGAGGGATTGGGTCTTGGGTAACAGAGTCATGCTTTTGTGTTCGATTGAGTGATTTTATGAGCATATACCAAACAAAAAGTGAAAGAATAAATGGTAGCAGATGATAGAAAAATATCATCAAATTGGACATTCAAAATATCCAGTAGAGAAAAATCAGTGAAGGAAAATTGAGAGAGCAAAAAAAGGGGTAGAATCATCAACACCGGGGGTCTCCAAACACCCCACAGAAACATGGTGATGAAGCCACTTAAGTGCGGGAAGCTGGAGAGTCCCGTGCGGTCCCATGGAGAGTACCAGGCAAAGCAGAATGTTCCCCCTGGTGAGACTTCCAAATAAATAAACAAATAGCTGCAGATAAAGATAAAAACATCAAATGAGATGCTCATACCCAGCAGAAACCAACTGGGGAAGCTCAGCTGAGGTCCCGTTTGAGCTTTCTGTCCCTGAATGAGATTCCCATAGCTGAACTTCCAGCACCCCTTTCCACAGCAGGGACTTTTATGTCGTAAGACAAACAGTTTGAGCATCTGCTGGAAATGCTTCGCCTTCTTGCTGTTTTCAAGAATACAGTGTTTTTGCTCTTGAGTGCTTTGTCCTCCCTGTCCCAGTTGGGATGGGGGAGCCACCCATTCTCAGATGAGGGCATCAAACGACACTTTGACACAAGCATGCTTGAGTCTGGTGGAGGAGGTGGTGCTCCGTCCTGCTTCCAGAGCCAGCTTCTCGGTGAGCTCATACAGCGCGTGCAGTTTATCGTTATAATATACGTTATAAACAAAACTAAACATGCCAAATGTATTTTAAATTTTCCTCAGAAACTATCCCTGCTTTATTACATTTTTAAGCTGATATACGTGTACATAAACTTAATTAATAATTAAGTAAATTAGCACATGCCTCACCTTATATATAATTTTTTTTGGTGATGAAATTTAAGATTTATTCAGCAAATATGGAGGACACAGTAAAGTAATTCCTATGACGCTCACCATGAATGTTGGCTTCCCAAATCATTTATCCTGTAACTGAAATTTTCAGCACATGGATCATCTCCCATTTCCCTCAGCCTCAGTCCCCTGCCAACTCTCATTCTCCTTCTGATTTTAAGGATTATAAGAAGCCAGATAGTGGTGGTGCATGGATTTAATCCCAGCACTCAGGAGGCAGAGACAGACAGATCTCTCTGAGTTCAAGGTCAGCCTGGTCTACAAAGTTCCAGGACTGCTAGGGCTGTTACACAGAGAAACCCTGTCTTGTAAAAAGAGAAAGAAAGGAAGGAAGGAAGAAAGAATTATAAGAATATTAAAATCTTCTATTTAATGCTAAAGATGAATTACTAGGTTCCTTGTCAAAACTGCCTTTTCAATTACAGTTCTACTGACTCATTTATGTGGGGTTTTAAAATTACTTCTCAGAAATGTTTGCAACGGTCTGTGCATTTAATCGACCAACTAAAAGTATATTTTCCTTTTGCGTGTGCTCAGTGGAAATGATGGCATTGCCACCCGTTTAATAGCACCTGTGTTTATTAGGAAACAATTTTCCTGAAATAAAGTGAAGATACTCTTGTGTTAAAATCCATTATCTGAGTAAAGTACATTTACATGCCATTAAAAATAGTTAAGAATATATTAAATGAATATTTAAAATGATTAAAGACAAAAATAGTTAGGGCCTTTAATGGCTCCAGCTGGACATCTAAAGAAGAAGGAGCAGCCATTTGGGTGTTTCGTCACTTCCTTTAACATCCTTTGTCCCTTCTGTTAGCTGCTCGTCTCTGCATACCCAATTCTTTTTCATTTGGTCTGTTTATATTAACTAGGCATGCCATTCTTCAGATGTGATAGTTTTAATATGCTAACTAATGAGCACTTAATAAGAATGTCATTAAAAAAACATCCATCCTAGGCATATTAACAGAATCAACTAAGAAGTTCACTTATGAAATTTATTTATATCTGAACTGAAATCTACTTAAAATGAGGCCGTGGCATTATGCATGTTACACTATTTCCTGAGGAGCCATCAGATTATGCTCACATACTCTGACTGTTCAGTCACTTTCTGATTTTGTCTTCTTCTAAGTATTCTAAGACAATAGATTATAGTAGATTATAATAAATTGGCTTTGGCATCCATATCAGTCCTTCCAGTACATAATGGCCCGTAATGCTGAATTGTTTTAGTGATCATTGTGAACTAAAAGAAAAATCCTATCAAGGCTGGGACACAAACCATACCAAATCTTATTCTGTTATGTTCCCTGTGTAAACATGGATTTGCAGTATTCATATTGAAGAACAAAAATACATTACATTGTTTCAACAAGTCAATTGTAATCAGTGCCAACTATCTCTTCAACTGTTGGTAGTAGTAAATTTAATTGTTTTCATTAGTTTTTTTTTTACTATATTAAGTTTAAAAAAAAAGTCTGATTAGTAACTGTATATTCTAGAACACTGAGAATAACCCATAATCCTGAGAATGCCTGTCAAAGCCAGATCACGTCTTCCAGGCTAGGTGATTTCCTTATTGTGCCCTGGTGTTCACAAGAGAAATTCTGGATACAACGGAAGCCATAGAACTTAAGGACATCTTGGAGCAGTTTTTCTTTGAGAAAGTACCTTCTTCCATGGACCACACAAGCAAACAGAATGACAGTTCCGAATGCTGTTGGAAAGCTCAGCCACAATTTCTTCGCTAAAACTGATTCCCTGCTTTCATTTCGTGAATCTTTCCAGTGTGGTTTACTTTCCATCAGATAACAGGATTGTATAATTACCAGCAGAGTCAGAGACAGGTGATCCTTGCATCTGCCTAGAAGAGGGACAGAAAAAGATCAGGAGCTGTATCTGCCTCGTTCCTTTCATCACTTACCCTAAAATCATGTGGCTCAGGTCAGGTTTCTGTTTGTTCACTGATACCTTCAGTTTTTAAATGTCTGCAACGTCAAAAAATATTGTCATATAAGTAATAATCTCTAATTTATTTTGCCTTGTTATACTTAAAATGGCATCATACATAATTATGTATTCTGCGCAAAGTTTTAAGTATTTGAATATTTGATGCATTCAGTGGAGCTAAATTTAGTGTTAGTAAGCACAAACTGAAAACGTTTTCTATTTATTGACTTAACATTGACCTAGGACACTGTCAAAGATTATATTTGTATACAGCCAGTAACTGTAACAGATTAAGTTAGAGCATCTGTAGGGACTTATTCACTTTATAACACTAGTCGAAAACCACCATTATTTACCTAATACTTTAATAAGACTTTTAAAATTAATTTTAAGATCCCATATGACTGGGTTTCATTGTAGTGCTTACATACATATGTGCATTATACTGTCTCCTAATCCATCCCTCTACTGCATTTTCCTCCTCCCGTTCTTACCGGTCCCTTCCTTCCCAAGATCGCCCCTCCATGCTTATGCCACATGTGTTCCATTACCTGTCCTTGCTTCTTTCTCAAGCTGTCTCGCTCCCTGATGGCCCCTGGTCATCTACGGACTTAATAGGTTTGAACAGCAAACTGTTACTGTTGTGCATTTGGACAAAATTAAGAATTTGTCTTAGTTTCTATACTGGTAACTAGTGTAATAGCCATGGTCTGTGGATGTCATTGTCGTCAACTGGGAATGTCAACTGGGCACTCCCCATTTGACAGGTCACTTAAAACCTATCTCGATATAGCTTAAATACATGAAAATATTGTTGTTTGCTTCTAATCCTAGAATCAAACATGCATAGTATTTTCTAGAAATTTTTCTTTAATCAAGTAAAAGATGTAATTTAAGATTGAAAAGACATCGAAGTGAGTTCGAGGCCAGCCTAGTCTACAGAATGAGTTCCAGGATAGCCAAAGATACACAGAGAAATCATGTCTCGAAAAAAAAAGGGAAAAAACAGAAAATACATCTAAATTATTAGATAGTAAAATAACACTTGTAAGTTTCAAAAAGGTTCTGTACATATTAGCCTACATAAATTGGCTTTTTTAGTTTTATAGTTGACAAATGTATCAAATAATTTTCAACCACTGTACTGTGGTTGTACAGTGCTTCCTGCTTCAGGTTTTCTCAGATTGGATGCCCACATTCAGGATCTTTCGGACTTCCAAATGTGTTTACCTCTATCCATTCTGTTAACAGTGTCTTTGATATTTAATAGGATTGCAGGAGAATTTGGATACATAAGCATGTTTAAGTGATTGATTCCTGAAGACTGTGACCATATAATCATATTTCCATTTCTTTGTGTCCTCAACAATGGCTTTCATAACTGTTTTATATTTTTTATTCTAAAAATCTTTCACATAATTGAATAAAGTTATTCCTGGATACTTTGTTTTTTAAATTTCATAACATTATAAAAGAGTGCTTCCTTGATGTATGTTTTAGTTAATACACTGTCGTGACAGTGATGCTACTGTTTTTATATGTTGACCTTGTATATTGCGACTTGCTAAATCTATCAGTCATAAATGGTTATTTGATAATGTATTTGTGGTTCTTTGGTTGTAAGAGTGTGTGTGCAAGCAGTTAGAATTTGGCCGCTAAACTCTAGCCCCAGTGCCTGGCCTGTCTTTGTGCTGCCTGGCTGGCTGAACTAGCATTTAAAGACCTATGAGACCTATGCTGAGTAAACATAATGGGCACCGTCATCCTTGTTCTACTCCAGATCACGGAGAGAATTGCTCGGTCTTTCCCACTCATTATGATACTAACCAGAGGCTTATTATAAATGTATTAAACTGTGATGATACATATTTCTTCTCAATCAACTTTATTCTTAATTTTATAAAGTCTTAAAATACTTTCAAGTGTCCTTTATGTATCTACTGGGAGGCTTCTACAGCTATTATCCCTAATTTGTTCTTGGGATGAATCAAATATATTGGCTTGAAATCACATGATATTTAAATCATAATTCTAAATATGTTTTATGAAGTGAGTACAGGTTGTATTCCATTCTTCTTCAGGAGCCGAGAGACATTGGAATGAGAAGTATAAATAACTGTGCTGAAAGCAGTGACCCTTGTCCTTGTACATCAGCATGGGCACCAAACCAGGACAAAAGACCTGGTAGAATATTTTTAGCTTTCGCCATTGCACTGACTAGCGTGAAAAGAGATGAGTGGAGAAGAAATGCTGGTGTCCGCCCTGGGGCAGAGCAGCGCTCGGAGTTAAAAGCACCACATGCATGCTGTGGCAAGAATAGGGTCGGAAATGTTACTGACAATATAAAATGTGTTTTCCTTCATTATGGTTAGACGCGTTCTTTATTTCACTAGATAATTAAGTTTTTTCTGTGTTCCCTTTGTTGCAAGATGTAAAAGCCTGAGAAGGTAAACACAAGAGACAAAATAGACCTAGGATTATTTTTACAGAATATGATTCTGTAGAAATATGAGGGGATAATATCTAAATTATTATGGCATTAATTTTTCAATTCAGAATAAATGTAGGTTTTCCTCCTAGCCTTAAAGATGTTTTTGCTTTCTGCTTTCTCTGCACTGAGTTATCCTTAGAGCCAACATCTTTTTATAATGTTCTTATTTTCTGTATACAACAGCTGGGATTGTTGAAATAAACCTAAGACTCCTCTGAAGATAAAGTTTTCTTGGAGTAAGTTATAGAAAAGTCTTTCTCTGTGTTACTGTGAGCCTTTTGATGGATTTTTCTGTTACTCGACTCTAGTATAAAGGCATTTCCTTCACTTAATTGCAACTGGTAACCTGTCTCCCAGTGTATGCTATATAATGAAAATTAAAGACACAGTCATATCATATTTGCATTTTCCCATTGAACCAGTGCTGAAGTAAGCAATAGGGAATTACAGAGTGTGAAGTGTAATTAAAAATGTTCAGAAAATATTATTTTTAATTTACTATATAATGGCATACAGATATTTTCTCTAGAAGGAAGCTGATAGCATTCACAAATATTTGAATACTCTGTTGGATTATTTTCAGCCATGTATATCCATCTCCTGTAGCTCTATTTTATGGCCATGTGAATCAGGTCAAACATGCACTTTTAGGTTCTTTTTGACAACTCACAAAATGAACCAAAAACTCTGGGTATAACTGTTGAAATATTGAATATATTATTATTTTGTGTAAAATTGTCTTTTCAGATAGAAGCATAAATGAAATGCCTTGACCAGGCGGGAAGAATACGTAATTTATTAGATTCAGTGAAAAAATAAAAAAGTAGATTTTCAGGATGACAGCGGAGCACATGGCCTTTCTGAACACAGAGCCTTGTACTACCGCACAGGTCACAGACGCACAAAGCTGAGCTTCCTATAACGCTGTTGCTGTTCTGTTCAGAAACGTCTGCCGTGCAGAGAAATAGACACAGAGTACAAGAGCAGAGAGCCTCATCAGGAAATCCTGGGGACTTTTTTTTTTAACCACTCCTTTTTATAAAAGAATGTGGAAGTCAGTATCTAATACTAATGGTTGCAATTACCTGTTTGTTTATTCAGTATGATTTTCTTTATGGAAGTGTGAACAGAATGCATGTGTTTGGTAAGAATTAATAGGTGTCCTTAAAAGCAAACTTTGCATGTTGTCTTAAACATACATTATACGTTCAGGTAAGTTTGTATCCAACTACACGATGCTCTGGAGAACACTGTGTCAGTGTTCTCTGAAATGTGTGCTGATTTGGCTTGTAAAAGCACAGACAATCTTTTGTGCCCTGTGAACTAATACTACAGATAACACACGTGTTTGATTTCATACTCAAATTTGTCTTTCTAGGGATGCAGGTTTTGGAATGGAACGGGATCCCCTTAACCTCTAAGACATATGAAGAAGTGCAGAGCATCATTAATCAGCAAAGTGGGGAAGCAGAAATATGTGTAAGACTGTGAGTTTTTCCCCATCTTTCTGTTTCCATTTTTTGGCTCGCCATGTCTCTTTTGATTTAAATTGTTAAGGTGGAACCTTTGCCCCTCAGCAGGAGTTTCAGAATGAGAAAATAAAGCGAATTCAAAGTCGATGGCCTTCTTGTGCTCTGAATCAAAGGTTAGGATGTAGCCAGAATCCAGCCACTACCTCTAAGGCGTCACAGCTCTCCCTTCTGAGGTTCTGTTAAAGTATGTTCCACTTGAAAGAAGGCCAGAACCCAACGTGTGTAATATTTTGAAGTGACTTGCATTTAATCCATAAAGATTTCACCTTAAATGATCATTCTTATCAGCTTTGACTTTTAATGACATTGCTAATATGGACTGGGCTAGCAGGGTGAGCATGCCTGGGAGCTGCTTTGTATCATGAACCACTTCTCATTGACCTTCTGGAAAGGAAATCAAGACAGGTGGGGAAAGGGACCTTCGGTTGCTATCTTCCTCCATGTCTTTCTTAATAAGCTGTCTTCATTTTTAGGGACCTCAATATGTTGTCAGATTCGGAAAACCCCCAGCACCTGGAACTGCATGAGCCACCGAAAGCTGGTAGGTGCCAGAGTCTGACTTCAACTATGGGTGAAGAGGCCGATACAGAAGTAGCTTGTTTTGACATGGATACAGAGAAAATTATAAATCTATATACAAGAATATGATCATGAACGATGCCAAAAGTGTTTTAGTTACATTATTTGCATTTTAGGGAAACATGCATCTTTAATTGTTAGAGTAGGCAAGAAAACTATATTAAATATGTACTGTATGAGTTCATGTTTTAAATTTTTAAAATATGAATTCACCTTGTGAAGGCAATCCATGGAGCTATTTTTAATCATATAGTTTTCAGTTACTACTTATTTTTTGAAGCACAACTTGGCCTTTTGCTGTTGTTATTATAATGATACTAGGAACTCTTGGTTACTGAAATAAACAAGCCAGTTCAAAATATATACTTTGTGAAATTTCTTCTATAAAGAATATGGAAGACTTAGAAAAGATAAAATATGTGTTCATACAAGCAAGTTCTTGGGAGATAAAGTAGGTATTTTGTTATTCCCAGGGTTCACTCAATAAAATATTCAAAGTATTTTTCTGAAGTCTTAATAGATCTTCAGATCCCTGTAATTCATCATCCTAACACTCCTATCTGGGCCGTCTCAATTTCCCTAAAAATAGACACATAAAACTTTCATTGAGTACATTTGGTCTTGAAATTTTAACTTCATCTTTAAAAAGTGCTCAGTCATCACCTAGAACTCCAACAAGTGTCACGGTACGTCTGACATATGGACCCAAGACGTAACGCCTTTGTTTTCTCCTAGTGGACAAGGCGAAGTCCCCAGGGGTTGATCCCAAGCAGTTGGCAGCGGAGCTGCAGAAGGTCTCGCTTCAGCAGTCCCCCCTGGTCATGTCGTCAGTCGTGGAGAAAGGGTCTCACGCTCATTCAGGTCCCACGTCAGCAGGATCCAGCTCTGTTCCCAGCCCTGGGCAGCCAGGATCGCCCTCCGTGAGCAAGAAGAAGCATGGCAGCAGCAAGGTGAGGCAGGCCCCATGTCACTGCAAGTGGCCAGTTCTGGCCCTTTAATCTGGACAGGAGGTAACTGGGAGGTGAAGTGATTGATATTCTGAAGAGTCCTAAGGATCTAATGAAACAAATATTTTCCTCTTCTGACTGCTTAACTGGTCCCTATAGAAAATCACATCTCTTTGGATATTTCAGTTCTTAAGAGAGACAACTTTGAACAATGTGGTACTTCGTAATTTTGATGTGCAGCGGGGGTCATTGTTCCAGAAACCTAAGTTTCTTTCTATGTAGAACATTAACTTTATGACTGCTTGAAAACAAAAGATACATATCCTGCTAGATTTCTCTCAGTAAAAATGCAAAGGGATAGAAATAATTTAGGAGAAAGGAAGAAGGAAGGAAGGAAGGAAGGAAGGAGGGAG